CACACATAAACAAATCCATAAATATCGAGTAATTATTTAACATGAGTTGCACAAGTAGCTCTACCACAGTCATTCAGCTTCTTCATTAACAAAAAACACCGTTTCCTAACGATTAGCATAATACATCTGTACTTAAGGTGCACGATATCGGTATAAATGGGTATAACGGAACAAGCATTATTGCAGATCACAAGAGTGTGGTATAACGCATATAAATCCTGATATTAACATCTCTGCACTGAAACTAAAAACATGAATTTCAAACTTGGAGCTATTGAGCTTATTTAGCGCTATAAAAGAGAGAAACGTGATGAAATACAGCTGTTTTGGTGATGTGCTGTGCCATTTATGCCCCTTCTCATGAGTCATATTCTTTAGGTAATCGATATATTGATTTGGAGTGCGTTTGAACAGTATTTCAGTTATATCACGGCTAGATGTGGTAGGAAAGCCTGAAGTGTATATCCGTGACAAAACAACACCAACGACAGTGTATGTGTTGACTTCAACTTTCCATTTGTCAACTTTGGCGTTTTTTCGAGCAATATTCCAACAGATCCAGCCTTTGGTGTCTACATGTTACAACTTTTGAGATACAATCCAACATGATCTTTCCACGAAGATCTCAAAGAGAGTAGGGGGCACGGGTGGCCCAGTCGTCTAAGGCGCCGCGATTCGCTGTGCAGAGTTGCGTCCCTTTGGCACGCCAGAAACCTATGATTGTGGGTTCGAATCCTGGTTCGCCCCAATTATGTTTCTAGGTTTGTCAGCACCATACCCGTGCTCGTGGGTTTCACCAAAGTGGTAAACGTCTGAGACCTGCATCACTTCGGGCTTTCCTCCCACATTAAGCTGACACACCGCGATATAACTGGAATACTGTTAAAAGCGGCGTTAAACCCAACTCACTCACTCACTCAAAGAGAGTCAAATAACTGTTGCTTGCTAGTTGTTTGGTCAGGGTTAAAACATTCAAGGCCTCGGTAAGGCTTTCAAAAAGTTCAATTGTGGACATTTTAAAGTCTGAGGCATCAGTGACCAAACGTATGTCCAATGCAATTCCCTATTTGACTGAGTGCCAATGTTTGTTGAGGTGAACAATTGACGTGCCTGTGCATGTATTTGTGAAGGGGGAGTTACCAGTGGAGCAGAATACGCTGACCTTACATACGCGAACACCTCACTATTTGGTGGTTTATAAAAACCATGCCAATGGTGTAGTCGGAATCTTACAATTGAGTCTGCTTTCGGTGTTTGTTTTTTTGTATGGCGGTGAAAAGGGATCTGTCTCTTTTATTTTGACGTTTACCAGTTAAAACACGACAAAATTTTTCTGTGAAACTGTTTAGTTTGATTTAGGGCATACAGACGTGAGCATGTGCTGTCTGACGGTATCTTCCGAGACATCGGTGACAGCGGAGTTGCTAGCGTTCCAAGATTTATTCAGATGCAGTGTGACTTTGCAGTTGTTGTTGTTGTTGTTGCTTTAAGTGTTTAAGAGGTCGCCTTCTGCCTTAGCAATATCGGCAGACCTGTCCCTCTTTAGGAGTCATGTGTGTGAGTAGGGTACACATATCTATTGTCAGTTTTAATATTGATAGGATTTCTATTTTCTTATTGATATGATTTCATTTTTGATTTTTAGAAATTGATAGAATTTCTGTGGCTGCTCTGTTTGTATACATTCGAGTTGCTGTCCATCTCTCAGAAATAGAGTAAGTTTGGCCTTCGCTATTGCATCTCTTGGCTTTAGGAGATCTGTGACAGATAGCGGATCTAACTGCAATTCTTGTTTTAAGGAGCCCGGGCTGGGGCATGGTCTGGTTGACTGCAAGATGGGCATACCTTGTCATCGTGCTTTTTGTGACCTAGATGGCTCCATCGACTTTCATTATGAGTATGGCTTTTTGTGGATTTTGGGTTGAATTTTGTACAGCCATATACCTATCTTACTTGCATCCCGTTAGGCTTTTTGGACAATGGAGGCTTTGATTTTGCTTTCCATCTCCAGTTTGCTGAAGGCTGTATCTCCGCCTTGTCTAGTCATATATACGTATGCACACGTGCAATTAGTTTCTTAAGTGGTTTCATCCCTATTTGACAGTGGTTCATAAACACGTGCTTTTTAGTTGGCGTCGTACAACGGAGATTCTTATAGTTATGGAAATGGTTTGTTGTTTTATATTTTATCCATCTCATATCAACACCGCTTAGGTGCACTAGCCGCCGTTTGACTAGGACTATGTTGTGTGCGGGTGATGGTAGTGTGATGGTTAGTCGGGTATTAGGTATTGCCTTGAGTATGATTCTTGGTTTGTCTGCACCAAATCTAGCTCGTGGGTCTAACCACAGTGGTGAACATCTGAAACCTGCAGCACTTCGGATTTTCCTCCCAGATTAACCTGACGTACTGTGATATCACTGGAATACTGTTCAAAGCGACGTTAAAGCAATTTCACTTAATCTAAATAATAGTATTTTTATTGGAGTCCAAACTATCGGGGCGGACCGATATTCGAACCACACATTATTTGGAACATAACGAGTCATGAACATTCATATGCACTAGCATATCCAAAATCAGGTAGGCAACATACATAATTCCCAACTAACCAATATGCCTAAATCAATATACAGTAAACTTCGTTTATAACGAACACGCTTATAACGAACAGACCGATATAACGAACTTATTTTTTAGTCCCGACCATTTCTTGTATAAATGCTGTATATGCCTATAACGAACTACGGTTATTACGAACTAAAATTAGTGGTCCCTTCGAGTTCGTTATAACCGTAGTTTACTGTAGACAATATCAATTATTTATACATGCGCTTTGTGAATTGCACAATGAAACATTGCATCATGTTTTATCACTTTTACCATTATCAATACACTCTATATTCATTCGTATATGGGTACAATGTGTGAAGCCCATTTCTGGTGTCCCCCGCCGTGATATTGCTGGAATATTGCTAAAAGCGGCGTAAAACCATACTCACTCACTCACTCATTCGTATATAAGAATCGTTTTAGAGGACCATATGCATATTTTTTCAGATTATGCCAACGCTAATAGCTCTGTTCATCGCAGCTGTTGTTTCATGTAAGTAGCTTGAATAAGTTATGTTTACAGTGTAGTAATACAGCAATCATATACAACTGTATATTCCAAATTCACATTATGGATACAATAAAGTTAATGTATTTCTTTGATGTATACTTCATATATCTATAAACATGGGGCATGGCCTGGGTTATACAACCAGCAACGCAACAAATAGTATTCGAGGTCGCTCTTTTTCAGCATCCAATGCCTGCCGTAAAAGGCGACTATGCTTGTCGTAAGAGGCGACTAACGGGATCGGGTGGTCAGGCTGGCTGACTTGGTTGATGCATGTCATCGTATCCTAATGGCATGGATCGATGCTCATGAAGTCAGTCACTGGATTGTCTGTTCCAGACTCGATTATTTACAGACAGCCGTCATACAGCTGGAATATTGTTGAGTGCGGCGTTAAACAACAAACAAACAAACACACAAGCACACAAACAAACAAACAAACAAACAATCCTTCTGTGACGCTTCTTCCTTCAGTTCACCCCGATTATGTTTCAAGGTTTGTCAGCACCATACCAGTGCTCATAGGGGTCTGAGACCTGCATCACTTGCGACTTTCATCCCTCGTAAGCTGGACAGGCCATGATTGAACTAGAATACTGTTAGAAGCGGCGTTAAACTCAACTCACTCCAAATAATGTTTTTTCATTGGAGTCCCATCTATCGGGGCGGACGGGATTCGAACCCACACATATAACTTCTGTCTACCAGAGAATCAACTTAGAATATTCTGATTTTAAAGAAATGGTTCATCGTTTATCTTATACACATTCGTGTAAATGCAAGCAAAACTCATGCATTAACGTGTCTGGTTCAAAACTGGATGACGCAAAAGAAACCAAGATGCAAAGACGCAAACAAATAACCAGTTGCATCATCGCACAGTGTCAGATATACCTGTTTTTAAAGACACCAATCCTATCTATAGAAGGACCTGTGTGGCCCAGTCGTCTAGTCGCTCTGCAGAGTTGCGTCCCTTGGGCGTGCCAGAAACTTAAGATTGCGTGTTCGAATCCCGTTTTACCCTGACTGTTTCTAGCTTTGTCAGCACCATACCCGTGGTAAACGTCCAAGAACTGCTTTACTTCGGGTTTCTCTACCACATGAAGCTGACATGCCGTGATATTATTGGAATACTGCTCAATACGGCGACAAACTCATGTAACTTACTCCTTACAGGTGTCGAGTGTAGCAGCCTGACAGGCAAACATTTCTACATGTATACGGGCAAAAAGACATGGAACGAATCAAGGACAATATGCGAGGACAATGGAACACGCCTGGCTAAGATAGACAATCAGCAGACAGTGGATGCTCTTATTGCTTATGCAGAGACTGAACATTGGCAAAATGACATGTATGACAGAATTTTACTGTAACTATTTTTGATGAACTATATGAAGTACATGGAAACAAAATAATTATCAAAATTCTTTCCTCCTGAAATATATAAAATATAGACTTTTTAGTGTTGGTGAAGTGTGATGCAAGTCAGCTTCTCAAATTAAAAATACAAGCTGCAACACTCCATAATAATTAGATAACTCTGCTCAGGAACAGATGGTCACTGGATTGTCAAAGTTGGTACTACACTTAGGATTAACGTCGTTGTAGTCGCAGATTGTAGTAGGTGTTTACCACTTCCACAATGATAATAAGTGGGGCGGAACTGGGTTCGAATCTACCACAAATATATTTTTTTGCAAGATAATGGTAGCGTAAAATAGTTTTGTTTTTGGTTGTATTTTTCAAGTCACATTTACAAATAAAACTCAGCAGCTTAAAAATGTAAGTTTAAAATATAGTACATGTACATATAGCAGAGAGTTAGAAAGAAAGTACCGATTTACTCATAAAGTTTACATAAATAAATTATTCATGTATATCTTTGACCTTAGGGCAAACCATTTCTGGATTGGACTGAACTGTGACAAACAATTTCTGTACCGGTGGGATCACTGTGAGGCTGTTGATAGTTCGTCCTTTACATTCTGGGATGATGAAAAAAAGGATCAGACAAAACTTTGTGTTTATGCTGAAAAGGACACATTGAAATGGTTCAGCGAAAAGTGTGACAGCAGTGGCTATCAGTATCTGTGCCAGAAAGACACGGGTGAGTAACCAGACGCCAGGGCCCCGTTGCACAAAGCGATCTTAGCGCTAAGGTGATCGTAACTCCCATACTTTAACATAGACATACGAAAGTCGTAGCGCTGAGGTCGCTTTGTGCAACAGCGTCCAGGGAAGCAATCTTAGTGTTAGGACCGTAGATTGACATTGACCTAAGATATTGGAACGGGTCTTACGGCATCATGCCACGTAAAATCCTTTCTTCTACGTCCGTCGTAACCATTACTATTATACTTGCGAAGTCTTAAGGTCTCATAAACTCTTTACTCTGTCAAAAGAATACACCCGTTACATATTCCGCATCGGAAAAAATGGTATAAATAATGCAGGGTAAAACCCGTTTGTTTACGTTACCGCATTGTGTTTACGTATTTACGAATGTGTATACGATTGGAATCGCTCCGGAAACCAAGTTTTAGGCATACCCGTTTGTAGTCGGTAAACCAAGAAATGCGGTGGAGGTGAACAACTGGTTTGCACCAACGTAACAAATGAAATTATTTAATTTGAAAGGAGTCGCTTTTACTAGAATGGTAACTGCTAAGACAACTTTATACTTGTTGTGTATAGCACCATATGCCGCATAAACTTCTTTTGGGCAACATTTGAAGTTCATCATCGAATATATGCAATGTAGGCGCGGCGAAAATGCGTCGAAAGGATGTCTCTTCACTATCAGTAAACAGAAAGTTTCAGTGACAATTCCGATCGACTTTCTCCGAGTAATCCGAAGACAATCTCAGTTTTATGGCACATACATTATACATGAAGTAATCGTGTGAATATTGCGAGTGATGAGGTAAGTAAAACCTTTCATTTTCATCATAAGCCATTTACTTTTTCAAATGTTATTAAATGTTTTGGGTTATTGTGAGGAACGCGCTTATAGTTCTGAGAAATTGTGGAATGGGATATAAGCAAGAAGCGACTGTTACTTCCTTGTTCCGGTTCCAGGTCCCTGTACTTATACAGAGCACACTGGGACGTGTTCGGGATCTAGTCATGAGGAGACTTCTGACAATGCTGTTGTGGATGTCGCTGAATGTGAAGACTTGTGTAGTAACACCACAAAGGACGAGCTAGCGTGTTGGATGTACAGTTACGACAATCCGACCTGTACACTGTATTTCGACAAGGACCCACGGGCATGTACAAAACCTTCAACGGACGCTACAACCAAGACACGGACCTGCTTTACATGTGTGTATAAATGTGTGTTCACTCTGTTACTGACACCTTCCCAAAGAAATGCAAAAGAACACTGATTTACCTGGTTCACAATCGAATATTTGTCTGTTGTTTAACGCCGCACTCATCAATATTCCAGCTGTATGACGGCGGTCTGTAAGTAATCGAGTCTGGACCAGACAACCCAGTGATTGGTATACGGTGACAGGCATCAAACAAGTCAGTGAACCTGACCACCCGATCCCGTTAGTCGCCTCTGACAGGCAACGAGGCCTCTTACGCATGTGTTGCTGAAGACCTATTCTACCCCGGATCTTTACGGGTTAACTCAATAACATCCCATCCTATTGTTACCTGGCCGAAACACAACATTCACGTTCGTCTGCACAACTAGTGAGTGAGTGAGTACGGTTTTACGCCGCTTTTAGCAATACTCCAGCAATATCACGCCGGGGGACACCAGAAATGGGTTTCACACATTGTACCCATGTCGGGAATCGAACCCGGGTCTTCGGCGTGACGAGCGAACACTTTAACCACGAGGCTACCCCCCCCCCACCCCCCCCACCCCCCACCCCCCACCCCTCACCCCACACACACACATCCCACCCCTCCTCTTACATAAGGTAATACTTATAAGGCGACTTATATTTATTCATATATTCTTGATGTAACCGAAATGTAGTTCACATTCACTATATCTTCTGTGTAATTTCGTTTTTTGCCGACAGTCGAAACTTTTGCTTCGCCCTCAAAGGACAGCAACTCTAACAACAAACGAATTATCGACTGCGACTTATACACAACCCCTGCTGCAGCTACCTCAGCACCAACGACAGCATTCTCCACTACCACCATGGCAACTACCACCACAACTACGACACTAGCAGCAACTTCTACCACTACCATCGCACCTACTGTTACAACAACAAAGGCTCGCATTACACCTATTTCTACCAACACAGAGTCAACAATCAATCCTGCACAAACAGCTGATTCTACCAGGGACACTGAGGTAACCACATCATCAACAACTACTCCAACTACCCCAGTCACTATAATCATCACTTCGGCAATTAATCCATCTACCCCAGACACTGCAAGTATCACCATGCCAACTACTCCAACTACCCCAGTCACTACAAGTATCACCATGGGAACTACTCCAACTACCCCGGCCACTGCAAGTATCACCATGGGAACTACTCCAACTACCCCGGCCACTGCAAGTATCACCATGGGAACTACTCCAACTACCCCGGCCACTGCAAGTGTCACCATGGGAACTACTCCAACTACCCCGGCTACTGCAAGTATCACCATTGCAACTATTCCAACTACCCCGGCCACTGCAAGTTTCACCATTGGAACTACTCCAACTACCCCGGCCACTGCAAGTATGACCAGGGCAACTATTCTGGCCACTGCAAGTATGACCATGGGAACTACTCCAACTACCCCGGCCACTGCAAGTATGACCAGGGCAACTATTCGGGCCACTGCAAGTATCACCATGGCAACTACTCCAACTACCCCGGCCACTGCAAGTGTCACCATGGGAACTACTCCAACTACCCTGGTCACTGCAAATATCACCATGGCAACTACTCCAACTACCCCGGCCACTGCAAGTATCACCATGGGAACTACTCCAACTACCCCGGCCACTGCAAGTATGACCATGGGAACTACTCCAACTACCCCAGCCACTGCAAGTATCACCATTGGAACTACTCCAACTACCCCGGCCACTGCAAGTATGACCAGGGCAACTACCCCGGCCACTGCAAGTATCACCATGGCAACTACTCCAACTACCCCGGCCACTGCAAGTATCACCATGGGAACTACTCCAACTACCCTGGCCACTGCAAATATCACCATGGCAACTACTCCAACTACCCCGGCCACTGCAAGTATCACCATGGGAACTACTCCAACTACCCCGGCCACTGCAAGTATCACCATGGGAACTACTCCAACTACCCCGGCTACTGCAAGTATCACCATGGGAATTACTCCAACTACCCCGGCCACTACAAGTTTCACCATTGGAACTACTCCAACTACCCCGGCCACAGCAAGTATCACCATGGGAACTACTCCAACTACCCCGGCCACTGCAAGTATCACCAGGGCGACTACTCCAACTACCCCGGCCACTGCAAGTATCATCATGGGAACTACTCCAACTACCCTGGCCACTGCAAGTATCACCATGGGAACTACTCCAACTACCCCGGCTACTGCAAGTATCACCATGGGAACTACTCCAACTACCCCGTCCACTCCAAGTTTCACCATTGGAACTACTCCAACTACCCCGGCCACTGCAAGTATGACCAGGGCAACTATCCTGGCCACTGCAAGTATGACCATGGGAACTACTCCAACTACCCCGACCACTGCAAGTATGACCATGGGAACTACTCCAACTACCCCGGCCACTGCAAGTATCACCATTGGAACTACTCCAACTACCCTGGCCACTGCAAATATCACCATGGGAACTACTCCAACTACCCCGGCCACTGCAAGTATGACCATGGGAACTACTCCAACTACCCCGGCCACTGCAAGTATCACCATGGGAACTACTCCAACTACCCCGGCCACTCCAAGTTTCACCATGGCAACTACTCCAACTACCCCGGCCACTGCAAGTATCACCATGGGAACTACTCAAACTACCCCGGCCACTGCAAGTATCACCATGGGAACTACTCCAACTACCCCGGCCACTCCAAGTATCACCATGGCAACTACTCCAACTACCCCGGCTACTGCAAGTATCACCATGGCAACTGATCCAACTACCCCGGCCACTGCAAATATCACCATTGCAACTACACCAGCTACCCTGGCCACTGCAAGTATCACCATGGGAACTACTCCAACTACCCCGGCCACTGCAAGTATCACCATGGGAACTACTCCAACTACCCCGGCCACTGCAAGTATCACCATGGCAACTACTCCAACTACCCTGGCTACTGCAAGTATCACCATGGCAATTGATCCAACTACCCCGGCCACTGCAAATATCACCATTGCAACTACACCAGCTACCCTGGCCACTGCAAGTATGACCATTGGAACTACTCCAACTACCCCGGCCACTGCAAATATCACCATTGCAACTACACTTACTACACCGGCCACTGCAAGTATCATCTTTGCAACTATTCCAACTACCCCGGCCACTGCAAGTATCACCATGGGAACTACTCCAACTACCCCGGCCACTGCAAGTATCACCATGGGAACTACTCCAACTACCCCGGCCACTGCAAGTATGACCATGGGAACTACTCAAACTACCCCGGCTACTGCAAGTATCACCATGGGAACTACTCAAACTACCCCGGCCACTCCAAGTTTCACCATGGGAACTACTCCAACTACCCCGGCCACTGCAAGTATGACCATGGGAACTACTCCAACTACCCCGGCTACTGCATGTATCACCATGGGAACTACTCCAACTACCCTGGCCACAGCAAGTATGACCATGGGAACTACTCCAACTACCCCGGCTACTGCAAGTATCACCATGGGAACTACTCCAACTACCCCGGCCACTGCAAGTATGACCATGGGAACTACTCAAACTACCCCGGCTACTGCAAGTATCACCATGGGAACTACTCAAACTACCCCGGCCACTCCAAGTTTCACCATTGGAACTACTCCAACTACCCCGGCCACTGCAAGTATGACCAGGGCAACTACCCCGACCACTGCAAGTATGACCATGGGAACTACTCCAACTACCGCGGCCACTGCAAGTGTCACCATGGCAACTACTCCAACTACCCCAGCCACTGCAAGTTTCACCATGGCAACTACTCCAACTACATCGGCCACTGCAAGTATGACCAGGGCAACTACTCCAACTACCCGGGCCACTGCAAGTATCACCATGGCAACTACTCCAACTACCCCGGCCACTGCAAGTATCACCATGGGAACTACTCCAACTACCCCGGCCACTGCAAGTATCACCATGGCAACTACACCAACTATCCTAGCCACTGCAAGTGTCACCATGGCAACTACTCTGACTACCCTGGCAACTGCAAGTATGACCAGGGCAACTACTCCAAATACCTTGGCAACTGCAAGTATCACCATGGCAGCTACTCCAACTACCCCGGCCACTGCAAATATCACCATGGCAACTGCTCCAACTACCCTGGCCACAGCAAGTATCACTATGGGAACTACCACGACTAACTCGCCTACTGGTGCTCCATCAGCTACTACTGCACGGGCGTCGTCAACAGCAACGGACACAGCGATCTCTCCTTCACAAAGCGTAATGGCTACACCCACCGCATCATCAGAGACGACAATGTCTTCAACAGCCACCATGTTCTCATGGCCTTCCGTGGCAAGTAAGCTGAAGTAATATAATACAAAGGAAATAATAGCTTTAACCGGGTAATGTGCTATAGGGCCAGATTAACTGTTTCATTTCGTGCTTCCACCACCATACCTTTACAATAATCTGATATCCGACTTTGTGTATCGACCTGTACAAAAATAATTAACCAGCATTTACAGCATTTGCAACATAAGAGTGAGTAAGTATTGTTTTACGCCGCATTTAGCAATATTATAGCAATTCCAGCGGGTGACACCAGAAATGGGCTCCACACAATATTCCCATATGGGGATTCGACCCCGGTCTTAGGCACGACCAGTGGACGCTCATCAGCAGGCTGCCCCACCGCCCCTGCACCCCTAAGAAATACCCCCCACGAGGGCTGGGACGGGTAACTCGGCTACTCGGGATCGGGTGGTTACTACCCGGATAACCACGGGACCCCCGGGCCCTAGGTTAGTCACGTTTAATGACAAAACTTATCGAAAACTCTACGGTCACACTACATGTCACTAATGTTCCCGTTTCTTTCTGACTATGCACGCATTCCTGCTGACTTTTATATGCTTGAAAAGAAGATAAAACTTCATGCAGTAAACTTCAGTGTATGCATGACCAGATCGTTTTATACGTGTAGCTAAATACATTTTGCCAGGGCTACGGTCGAACTTTTCCCAATCCGACAGTTTGTACCTATCTCTTGAGACCTACAGCGGGTACCCGGGTAGGGTCGGGTAATAGCGGGGTGGGTACCCGGGTAGTAAATGTTGAATCGTCCCAGCCCTACCTCCCATCTGTGTACTAAAATATATTAATAATATAGAATAATATCGCTTGCGGTACAATATATTTCAGATTCTTCTGGGAACAGCAAGATGTGTCCGTGTTTGATGTGCGCTGAAACACAAACTGTGACCGAGATACGGCGTATCATAGACGCCATTCTCCTGCTCCTGAAGTTAGACAAATCCAAGCTGTCAGCCACCAGAAGGAAGCGGGAGTCAGCGCCGGACGACAGACCCTCAGCACAGGCCATTGGCTACTCGGGAATAATCTTCATCGTCATCACATTCAGTTTCTTTGTCCTGAGTGATTTAATACGACTCTGTCAGTTTCTCTCCGGCAACAATCAAAACCACAATTACAGATCAAGAACAATGCCTGAGGAGTGAGTGAGTATGGTTTTACGCCGCGTTTAGCAATATTCCAGCAATATCACAGCAGGGGACACCAGAAATAGGCTTCACTCGTACCCATGCGGGGAATCGAACCCGGTTATTAGGCATGACGAGTGGACGCTTTAACCACCAGGCTACCCCACCGCATCTTAAGTCACACTATCTTGTGTATGAGTTCCCGAGCACATAAATATATTAAGTATCGTGAAAAAAAAGTAAATGAAAAAAAGCAATATGACAGTAAAGGTTTGGAAACTTTTGGTATCGTGTCCTAATACGTAGAGCGTATGTTAGAAATGCGTTTGTTATACAGGGGTAAATTTCACAACAAATTTGTATGTTACCAGCAGGGCTTGCTCCTTTTCAAAGTTACTGGCCCTTCTCCAAACCACCAAAACTAAATGGTGGTGGCCGCGAAGTGGCCGAACCTAACGTCGTGTAGCCACCTAGCAGGGATCTGAAAAATGTTGAACTCCTCATCCCTAAAACGTTTTTTCCAGAAATCTGAGATTAAATCTTGGTTCCATTTGCCTCATTTCATGGCGATTAATGAACAAAATAAAGTTGTGTACGCAACATTACAAAATGGCGTCCGAGGTGATCCAACTAAAAAACTTAAACATACACGGAGAAGGGGTGAAATGTTGACTTGCCATCTACTTAACGTTCCAGCAAGCCCTTGTAATTTTAACTGGCCACATAGCAGTGAAATCGGCCCTGTTATATCTATTTCAGTGTGACGTTACTTGTACTGTCAACCATTAGTTTCCTCTTGGCCTTTGCTGATGACCAAGCTGTTGTCTTACAAATATTGTAATACATTACATAGAATAAAAATTCTTGTGAAGACGTACTATCTTTTTGAGTTATCAACACATCTGGGATTGTATATAAACATTCGGGGTACTATTTCCCCCCGTAGCATATAACAGCGTTCATGGTGAGTTAAAGAACAAATATTTAAAGTTGTAAACAGGACAAAATAAAACAGAACATGTTTTTGCTTATGGTAATTATATTTTGTTTCCAAATATGCACTAATGATTTTGTTTCCATATATGAACTAATTATGAACTATCGTTGACGAGTGCGCTTATAGTCATGGATTACTACAAGGGACATTGTCGCGTTGTCGCATTGTCGCATTGTCGCGCTTTGAATAATCTTTAGTATTTTACCAAAGTGCGACAACGCGAAACTTTTAAGGTCAAAATATGTCGCCCCATTTTGACACTTTTTGGTTGTTTTTGCAAGGGCGACCATGCGACAACACGACCGTAGTATTCCATATATAGGGGAACTCACAATCACTAATGCAACTGAAGTAAGCACACACTTTAAAAAAAAGCCCCTCCCCCGAGACAGTATCTCAATCAACAGACAAATGGCGATTTGTGGGCACGATAGAGGGGTGACGTCATTATCCCTAATTACGCGAATGTATGGCAAACCAAAAAGTGTATTTTCTCCGCTGTGAGACCAGTACCGTCGGACGGGCGGGGTTGCATTGAGGCCTGAGAGTGAAAGACCTGAAAAACACGACACCCACTAGAAATAGTAGGGGATCATGAAATATAAATGTTATGATCGGTCTAAAGAAGAAAGATAAGCTTTGAAGAAATGATTAACAGAGAGAGTACGGTTTCGGAACCAAAACCTAACGCCCCAACATCCAGAAACGTTGCGCAGGCTAATTTATGGGCCAAGATTGAGAAAGAAGTCTATACGTGTATGATCATTGCATGTAAGGTTTAATTACAAATTCTGCACTGCAATTATGATGTCACAACCTTATATATAAAGTTTAGATTAGACCTTTCAATATTCATATATACTACTAAAATAGTCAAGGACCATCCGATTCTTTTATTTTACTGACAAATTGCAATGACAGATTAACTGTAGTTATGTGATGTGAAGTGATGTTGGTTGTTTAGTATCAGCAATATTCCAGCTATGTGACGGCGGTCTGTAAGTAATCGAGTCTGGATCAGACAATCCAGTGATTGACATCATGAGCATCGATCCACGCAATTGGGATACGATGACCAAGTCAGCGAGCCTGACCACCCGATCCGTTAGTCGCCTCTCACGACAAGCATAGTAGCCTTTTACAGCAAGCATGGCTTGCTGAAGACCTATTCTACCCCGGATCTTCACGGGTCTGTAGTTATGTAATATATGGAGACATGCTTTGTTCAAGGTAATTACGGGGGCATTGTAATTCACATCGACAACTTTAATTACTCAGCCCCTCAAATGTAGAAGTATGTTATCTTAGATTTGCCGACATTAATTTAACATTAAAAACTATTATGGGTCAATTCAATGTAGCACTAACAAACCGAAGTTTAATCATTTGTCATTGCGCATACATTTATGTATCTCCTGAGTATTGATCGCGGTCGATCCTGCCATACAGATGCGAGTATTTCACACTGATATAATTCGATATCCCGAGTGTTGCTATTGTGTCCCGCGAACGCCTCAGTAGCGACTCACAACCAACTGTGAACTGTGAACGTCACTACCATCTACAGCTGACGAAACGCTCAATCTATGGGGCCGTGGATCCGCCCGACAGTAAGCGACCACGAAAAGGTAACCGAAATCGTTCTCGATTATTCCAATTTACTTCCAAACTTTCAAAATTATTACACATCATCGTTGCCAAACCCATGGAACATTTCCTGGATGATATTATGCTCACATAAGAAGCCTAGGCCTAGAACAGCGAATGTGAACATGCTTTTGCCTGAGGTCAGATATGATTTTGTTTGTTTGTTCTGTACCGCCGCACTCAGCAATATTCTAGCTATATGATGGCGGGCTGTAAATAATCGAGTCTGCACCAGACAATCCAGTGATCAACATCATGCGCATCGATCAACGCAATTGGGATACGATGACATGCACCAACCAAGTCAGCGAGCCTGACTACCGATCCCGTTAGTCGCCTCTTAAGGCAAGCAAGGTCAGATGTGAAGAGACATTAACAAGAACGTTTTATAACGTGTTATTCACTTCATACACCAACGATGTGCCTGCATAACAACCAACGATCTGACACTGACACAATGCCCCACAACATTGCTGTGAAATGTTGATGCTGCCAAGCAAAATTAGTGTTACAACCACTTGGATTTCTTTAACATGATCTAAACAACATTCTTCAGTTTCCATTTGTTGTTCAGCATACAGCACTTCCTGGTGACAGCTTTCCACCGATTTCTTTTCATGGATTTCCATCATGGCGAATGGTAAGACCTCATCCCAGTTGTCCTGTTGAGGGTTGGCTTTGACCTTCAGGATTTGTGCTATGTCCTGGTTCTTCTATCGCAGACTATGTTGGTCTGATATTAATATGTAGTGATGTTTCATCTAATACAACTCACAGATGGCAATGACAAACTTGGAAGTGAATTGTCTTCCACTGCCTGTGACTAAAGTTTTTGGAGCTCCGTACATTCTAAAGACCTCTTTCACCAGCTAGTCCGCAACTTCTGTAGCATCCAGCGTTGTCATTTGGAATCTCTCCATCCATTTTGTAAAGGAGTCAATGGAAGAAGTCAAATAGAAGAATGTACGAGTTAACGTTCTTGATCTTTGGCATTGGTCAAAGGATGTCGACATGGAAGCGTTCAAAGGTTCCCTCTATTGCAGTTGGTTCAAGGATGTCGACATGGATGCGTTCAAAGGTTCCCTCTATTGGCATTGGTTCAAGGATGTCGACATTGAGGCGTTCAAAGGTTCCCTCTATTGGTGTTGGTCCAAGGATGTCGACATGGAGGCTTTCAAAGGTTCCCTCTATTGGCTTTGGTTCAAGGATGTCGACATGGAGGCGTTCTTAGGTTCCCTCTATTGCTGTTGGTCCAAGGATGTCGACATGGAGGCGTTCAAAGTTTCCCTCTACTGGCATTGGTTCAAGGATGTCGACATGGAGGCGTTCAAAGGTTCCCTCTTTTGGTGTTGGTCAAAGGATGTCGACATGGAGGCGTTCAAAGTTTCCCTCTATTGGCAATGATCCAAGGATGTTTTCATTGTGTATATAAAACACTTTAAAAGGGCAATATATTTAATAGAATCATTTCCATTTAGAACGAGGAACACAGACTAAAACCATAACTATTGTCATAATAATAATCCATTACATCTTTTCTGATATTGGTGTAGAAAACTTAGCAGTACTAAATCATCCTTTCACATTTCGTAATATGAATTGCCGGACTGTGGTCCAGTGGAAAAAGCATCTGCCTGGAGAGCAGGAGGACGGTTTCTCGAAACTGGGTCGCATCTTATCAAAAGATGGTGCTTGTTGTCGGGATGACATCTCAGTGGGCTAGCATTATAAAACCGGCATTAGTCCGGACGAGTACAAGCGGTTCTACTAAACCGTTCACATTTAGTATATTATTCTTGGAAGAATTGTGTCTCGGAAAGGCAACATGGCTATACTGGCACACTGTTCTTTTATGTCATGAGACATATGTTTTTATCGATTATACACTTCCTTTTCCCCAAGACATATTATAATCATTCATTTGTTGCTGTTCATCTTAAGCACTCTACCGCCTCGTCATACCGAACTGAATCTAAACTTATCTTGTGATTCAGACAAATTATGCATCTTCAGTAGCACGTAATATTTCTTTCTCATTTCTGATTGTACTTATAGTGACGGTAACACGTTTTCTCTGAAACTCTCGAGATATAGCACATAATCAATATGATATACATTTCGCTTTACTCGAGTCTGCGGCGTGCTTTGCGAAACAATTTTACTGCAAGGCCACCCTTGACACCCAACTACCCTCTGAAAAACAGGGGACACAGGTGGCCCAGTCGTCTGTGGCGCCACAATTCGTTGTGCAGAGTTGCGTCCCTTGGGCAAGCCAGAAACCCAATGATTGTGGGTTCGAGTCCCGGTTCGCCCCGATTATGTAAACTAGGTTTGTCAGCACCGTTCTCGTGGCTTTCCCCAAAGTTGTAAACGTCTGAGACCTGCATCACTTCGGGCTTTCCCCCACATCAAGCTGATACGCCGTGATATTACTGGAATACTGTTAAAAGCGGCGTTAAACCCAACTCACTCACTCACTCTGAAAAACAACGCCACTGTTTCCAAAGGTTTGAGACGACCAAAACGGACATGACAACTTTACAGCAGAGATCACATCAGCAAAGACCATTTCTAGGTATAAGTGCATATGATTTATTATCATGATTTATTTAGTAAACTATTTCTATACAATTGAACCATGCAACATAAGTAACTGCATCATGAGTAATTTCGGACCACTTCCCTTGCCTTGTCTGCATACGATGTACATGTTCCAAAGTGGCACACAGCAGACGAATTGCATTAAAGTTTGTATGCAAAAGAAGTTGAGAAACTTCTAACCTCCGTATAGCATCTGACAACGTTCAACCTTATGTCATAGAGCACTTTAACTCAGAGCTAAGTAAATGCCTCGTGAAGGCTAACTCGAACCATATGCCCCAAAGTGTATATAGATCACATTCGAAACCTTGTTGGAAAAATGATAGTTAAAATGAGCCCTACTGTGAGATGAGGGTGGCAAGACGAGAATGGGGAGAGAACAACAGGCCACGGGGAGGAATCTCTAGATTGTACAAATCCTATTAAAATGGTAAAAGGGAGTTTAGATGTTTACACTGCAACGTAAACAGTGTTTCCCATTAAACAAGGTGTTAGGCAAGGTCGAGTTAGGTCAGCATGGTTCTTTCACGTTTTCATAAATGATTTTATATGTGAATTAAAGAAAACAAACAATAGCCTCTCTGCTACCAACCTTATACCGTAAAGAACTTGAAATAGTTGAATGTACACAACGCGACTTTGCTCGCCATATACAAGAGTTTGGTGAAGACATACAACTGATGCGGTCATTTCTAACTTCGGAATGTGGTCAATGAATGGCTACATAGACTATGTAAATTACTATTATTAGGAAGGTTCTGTAATAACGACTGGAACTCAATAACAAAAGGATCTGTTTTGTGCTCACATTGCTACCAACGCCACTGTCAATATTAGACGTCCAGTAATCGTATACAGCATCCTTCTGTACACTGCTAAACGATATGATAAGACAACTATAACAAAGAGTATACTGATAGTGGTTCGTTCCCATCTAAATCGGCTGAGAAATCAGAGACGTAATCAGAGAATAAACAAAACATTTGAAGAGAGAGACCAGCACACAGACCATCACGGTACCATCAAATTCATGCACTCTTTTAATCACATGTTCGTTATAATGTAATACATCTCTATCCACATGTAAGACGACCTCTGCCATTTAAGTCTGACAGAAAACATTTCTTTTCATGTCTGATTGATAAATTTGATGTGTATGTGAAAATAGATATGCTTGACGATGATGACACGCTTTTGTTGTTTCTCGGTGCAGATGTTCATGACTTAACTGATGAAATTGATTATGATACTTGGGGACACATCTTTCTGTCATTTTGCCACTTTATATGGAATTTCAAGAAATATCTTATGTATATCTACTAGACACATATACCCTACTCCTCATAAATTGTGCATTGTGCATTGTGTATTCATAGCACTATATATATATCAAGTAATCTAAATAATGTATTGTGAATAACGTATTTGTCTGTGTAAGATCTTCGGATTCAAATCTGGAGGATATAAAGAAATTCATTCATTCATCAGCAAAGACCATTTCTGGTGTCCCCTGGTGTGGTATTGCTGGAATATTGCCCAAAGCGGCTTAAAACAATACTTACTCACTCACTCACTCCCATTTCTAGGTATAGGTTTCATATGATTTATTTAGTGAAACATTTCCATGCACTGAAGTGAAGCGTAATTTATATAACGATTCTCGTTGACAATGCACATCTGTGGTTTGCTTGAGGAATTCCAGATGAATAAATTATATCGTCAACTTGAACACAAATGTGCAGTGGACAAACAATACAATGCTACATATTGGCCGTAAAGGGAATATTTGTTGTGACAACTATATCTGTATCTACGTTCCAACCGGATACAAGTTTCCTGAAGTTGATTTGTAATTGTGAATAACCATGAGCACAACATCCGAAAATATCATGAAATAATTATTGCACATTATTCTACTGCTTTACTGTAAGATCATATAACACTACAGCATGAATTAATCACCTCAAGTCAAGTTAATGATACTTTGCATAAATGACACGATCGTTAAGTGTTTGCATTTCTTACTCTGAATATTATAGTTGACAGCTGACATAGCGTTTGATTCCGCCAAGTTCCGGGGACGAGGCTATGCTACGTTGGTTGTTTGCCTCTCTGGGTTACACGTGTAGCGTGTGGGCTCGTGCATACGTGAATCAGTGGAATAAAACTGGCATGTTATTATCATGTTGGTAGACTCATATTAACCGAAGTATATTGATTTATCCTCACTTAATATATAACATCAGTTATATTTACAAAGATGTTTCAGAACAGGGAGGGGAAAGTCACATACAAACTTCATGCCTAACAATCCTTTTGGTGTTGTTGGTGTTGTTGTAGTTGTGTGTGTCGTTGCAGTATAAAGCGATATATTTGTGAC